TAATTTATATATAATACTAAACAGACGATAGCAAACTCAATTTAGCCGCTCCGTAGCGTGGCGCAGGGTCGGAGGAAAGTAGTTCGGCTGCTCATCCACTATTGGTCCAGACTCTATCAATCTTGTCGCGAAACGACGTTATAGGAGGTACGTTATACGAAAGTTGCTACAATTTTTTCGCTACGTTATAGGAATTGTCGTTATAGGAACGTACGTTATAGGGGGGTCGACTGTATATCAATATGGCTGAATGTTAGAACAACTTCAGCAATATCAGTGAAATATGAAATTTGAGAAAGAGGCGTGTGCCCATGCGCTAACCAGCGTTCGATGGTACTCGGTTACTTTTGTGTAACAGACTTACTTGGCATTTGGAGTCTACCGGATATCTTCACCCTTCTCAATTTGGTTTTAGAAGACAGCGTGGCACTGTTGATGCTCTGATGGCCCTTACATCCAAAGTACGTGAACTCCTTTCATCATTTAAATATGTTCTGGGAATTAGTCTCGACCTTGAGAATGCTTTTAATTCTGCCTGGTGGCCTCTTATTCTACACAGGCTGCAAGGGAGCAGGTGTCCAGCTAATCTCTATCAGCTAACCAGGGATTTCCTATCCAACAGGGAGGCCATCTTAAGGTCAGGTACTAACACTTTTTACCATCATTTGGAGCGTGGCTGCCCTCAGGGTTCTGCTTGTGGCCCTCTCCTATAGTGTATCCTTTTTAACGACTTTCTTTACAGTGAATTTGGCAAGCATGTTAGTGTTCTGGCTTATGCTGACGATGCTTTCCTCCTTATTCCTGGAGACTCGAGGCGTGAGCTCGAGACTAGGGCTAATGCTGTCCTTACTGAGTCAGTGAGTGGGGCAGTTGTAATAAGCTACGGTTTAATTCCACACTTTTAACACATTTAACCACAGGCATTGTCTTCACTAAACCTTACTTTCCACATCTTTACTCTCGTACTCCATGCATTAAGATGCGGGGTCAATCTATTCACATTGTCCCTCACTTGAGGTTCCTTGGTGTTGTCCTGGAGCATAAACTGTCTTGGGGTCTCCACATCCATCACATTACTGATAAAACTACTCTTATATTTAATAACTTACAAAGGATTGATAAGAAACAATGGGGGCTTAATTATGCTGCTCTAAACTGTATTTACAATGCGGTCTTCATTCCCATTATCTCATATGCTGTGGCTGTCTGGGAAAGCGGTGTCTTTCTCAGTCACAATTACCGCCGTCTTCAATCTGCTCAGCGTAGGGCCCTTCTCAGGCTCACAAGAGCATATTCTACTGCTTCAAATTATTCTCTTCAGGTTATCAGTAGGAAGATACCTCTGGATCTTCACTTGAGACACATTGCTTGTACTTATCATATTAGGAAAGGCCATGACATCAATATGAACTCTATCTCCTATGCTGAAGGCACCTATGAGACAGATATACCATTTACCAACCTTCCTCATCCAGCGGCGAGAAGTTTGTTTGACACATTTTATACAGTTGATGCTGATTATATAATCTTCACAGATGGATCAAAGAATGCAGAGGGCACGGGCTCGGCCTTCGTCGTTTTTGCCAATGAGGAGGAAATATATTAAAATTCTGGCACTCTTCATCCTAACTGCTCTATATTCCAGGCAGAACTCTGTGCCATTTACATGGCTGTTCAATGGTGTGAAGCCAATCTTACTGGAAGTAGAGTTACAATTTGCTTTGATAGTGCTTCAGCAATCAACGCACTTAGGAATCTCAACAACCTACACCCTCTGGTTAGGAAGATTCTAAACTATATACCTTGTGCTCAGAACTCCTATTCCCTCGAATGGGTGAGAGGTCATCAGGGTGTCCTAGGTAATGAACGTGCAGATCTACTTGCCAGGGAGGCTGCAACGATCGGTACCTCTAGCCCTTTCAATTATTTAGTGCTACCTGCTTCTTTTCTTAAGCTCCAGCATTGGAACCACAGCTTGGATCTCTGGCAGCAGAGATGAAATAGTTACAATGGCCTTGCCAGGAACTTTTTTCCATCTATTCATGACCACCTTTCTCACCACTGGGTTAGTCCGGACTATGAAACCATGCAATTCTTCACTGGGCATGGGAGATTCCGGGCCTACTTACAGAGGTTCGGCAAATCTACAACGGACATTTGTACCATCTGTAATTGCCGTGATGGGGTTGAGCACTACGTATACATGTGTCCAATGACCGAGGATGCTAGGCATGAGCTTGCCCTTGCTCTTAGCCACAGGAGAATTAACTGGCCATGTGAAATTCATGTCCTTCTTAAGGATAGTGACACCTACAATGCATTCAAAAAATTGATTCATATGTATCACATGCGCTCTGTCATTCACTAAGTTAGTCAAGTCTGTCATCAGGCATTATTTTCATTTGCTTCTTGCACATTATTGTATATGCATATCATTATTGTTCTGCTGCAGCATATATCTGTATAATATTTATTATTACTATTAGTATTGTCTGTTTTAATTTACCGTACATGTTATTCTACTCTCAAGTTTTGTATAACATCGGTTGATTTGTATTGGTCATCTTACCATCTGTTCATACTTTTCAATTGTCATACTTTTTGTACGTTATCTGTCTGTTATTATGTACGTATTTACCTGTGCTTTGACATATCTCTGTATTTAACCCGATTATGCTCTTGCGGTATCGGGAATAAATAAAGATAAAGATAAAAATAAAGGTACTCGGTTACTGGATGGAACTTATTAGGCTGCATTTTGAAAAACTGTAAATCTATAAATTTGCACTGTCGTCTGTCCATCTCTGTCTTTCCTTAATCTCGAGGATGGAGTTAGATAAATAAAAGTCGAAAGAAGGCATGGAAATCGTAAGAGAAAGAAAACCAGATTAACTATGTTTGAACTTCCGATTTGTATCGCAATGCACGTTATTTCAATTCAAAATTTTTTCCCGAACGAAGTTACATTCATAACCAGTAAGACTCTATTGCTAACAGGAAAAATATAATGTACAGGGGTAAAACACTATCACACTCCATGCAGGAAACTACTGTGTACCTGTAGCAGTAAAGGCATAATGGCGTGTCTATTTCGCACTATATCATTATCCCAGTAATTTAGGAACTATAATATATATTTTTAAAAATTACAGTAGACCCCCCTTTAACACGGTAAATACGTTCCGTGTTATATGAATTCCGTGTGGTACGAGTCACTTAAATACATGAGCCAATCACGGCCCAGCACGTATGCAGTTTAGGGACTACGACTGTTTGAAAGGTTTTCTTCCATAAAATTAATCAATTCTAGACTAATTTCACTCAACATTTCCAAAACACGTATAATTTTTGGGGAATAATCTGTACAAACTATGCTATAAATGAAAAATTGTATGATTACTTACCGAGTGGTCNCATCGGAAACTATAGATCAAGAAAAATATTGACCATGTGTGTGTTGAGTTCATTCCAAATTCTGTTAAGTTTAGTTATTGTTTCTCTTTTTGTGGTATATTCAATACGAAAGAAGTGGAGAAACGGAAGGAAACAACAAAAGAATTATTCGAATTCGAACAAATATAGAGAAGATTCGTCTGTATCTGGAGGTAAGCAATCTATATACATATATAATTGAGATGGATTGATAATAATAATAAGCACAGATCCCAAACGAATGGGAGTTGAAGGTTGAAAGTTGGTACACAGTTCAGGTACATCATGAGAACTTACACTAAGAAAGGATTTTTCGAAATTTTCCCTTCCCTACAGGGGAGAGGTTGTTAACACTTCCCCGCGGGGAAGTGTTAAGAATGGAAGTGTTGAATAACAATGAAAGCGTTAAATTAAGATAAAGCGACGTGCAAGATTTACAGGGGCAGATACGGTGTTTTGCATTTTTGCAAGATATGGAACATATTTGTGAACAGATGGGATAGAGCGGCGAGCTTCTCCCCACTTATGGGCTTCGTTGTCAGGGATGGCGATGGTTAAGTGAGTGGGAGGGTAGTGAAGTCGTGACGAGATGTCGGTCGTACTCAAAGATGACACAATATTAACGTTAAGAATAACATATTTAATTTATAAGAAATGGTACAAATACATGCAGTTTCCTTCGAAACTCAAACAACATAACAAATAGCAATAATGATAATAATAATATATTCGCGTCCCGACAATATTATACGACTGAGGTCCATCTTTCCCGTCGGCGGGACCATCAAAGGTCCGCTACCCATAAGTTTTCTAAGAACTAATCTAAAACCGAGAAAGAGAAGTGAAGTTTTTCTAAGTCTAGCCTAAACCGAGAGAGAGGGAAGTAAAATTTGTCTGTCTTTACCTCGTTTGCAGTGGCGATCAGAAACTGCGAAGTTCCCAAAGGTAGAGAAGGCATGAGGGTGTCGGTCCTGGTGCTTCTTTTTGGCGATCGCCCGGAGGTGCGAGAGCGATCCACTTTTATACCCGATTAGCGTGGGAAATATCTGGGACTTTTTTGACGTAATTGTCTTTGCAACGTAAGTTGTTTACTTGAATTTGACAGTTTTTCAGATTTATTACCGTCTCTGCTGTCACGGGTGACGAAGTTATGACCATCGTTCGTCGTCACCCCAGTTGACCAGTCAGCATTAAAGTCGTCATCACTTGGGGTAATGACTGGCCATCCTTGGTAACGTGATATAGTTTCTCACCGCACGGTCTACCTTGCAGGTGACCTTTTTGTTCACCCTCTATACAGTAACATATGTCTGTTGTTGCTAATTGGTTATTTACTTGAACACCGCGGATACCTTACAATCGAGCGATCCCCTGGAGAGAGGGGAGATTTTCCTCGGTCGTTTATGATGACTTCGCCCGTTTAGGAGGTCACCTTTTGAAATGACGCAGTACACAGAGGGGTCAAAAGGTCTATTCCCCGGGCAAGGGAGTGAAAACGGGAGAAATACGGGAAATAATGATGAAAGAAAATTTATAATATAAAATTAAGTCTTTATAATTTTCAAAAGCGAGTTTGATTTCTCACATATTTTTAGATCCATCTAAAAATTTTCTAATTAGTCTGAAAACAGGATGACCTAATCCTTGCATTCTCTGAAAACGGATAAGATTGGCTGTAATGTAATAATCGTAATCTTCGCTATCATTACTTTTTCCCGAGCAACGCCAAGCTTTGCTAGTAATTGAATATTTTTTGTTTTTTTAATTTATAAAATATCATTAATTTAACCCGAAAGGTGTGATCCGACAGCGATACAGCGCTCTATATTAGAGCTCAGCCACATGTTTTATATTAAATATGGAATTTTTATAAAATAATGTTCGATTTTACTTTTGAGGTTCTTATGCATATATAGGTCTACATAAAAAAGAAAAGTACGGTAATCGTGTCAGATTTCATTCTTGCAGCTTTTTGAAATTCTTTACTTCTAAAAATGTTTGTCTACTACTGTATATAAAATGATCGTATATTTCTATTGTTAGATTTTCATTATATTATATTTTTATCTCTGATGATGCTTACTTTTCCGATTTATAATCATGATGACAACTTTCTCCAAAACTTCCTGTAGTTGCAGTCTGTGTAATGTGCACTTTACTCACATCTTGAATCTTACTGTCAAATCTCTTTACACTATTCTTAGGCCACACCATTCAACAAACGTTTCCTTTATTTAGATGTTTCTGCTGAGCTGTACATTTTCAGTCTGGTTTCACCAGTTTTCTTATGGATTAAAATTCATTTATCATTATTATTTTATTAAAAGTATTATTAGCTTATCTTTCTTACAATAACTTAAAACGAATTCTTATCGGTTGTGTTATACACATTTACTCCGTTTAAATCAAAAAGCATATTAAATAAAAGATAAATACAGGAATAAACGTTGGATTCTAATAAGTCGAATAATAGCTGTCGAGTGCAGGTACTTCTCTTTCTTCTTTGCTATGGCTACTTTGATTAATACACTGAATTTCATTTAATTGTAACATCAGTTGATCTTTCTATTAATTTAACTTTTGTGAGAAATCATGGTAATTTTCTTTTTTCTAGTTCCTCTTTTAAATATTCAATGGTGGTTTTTTCCTTTGTAAATCTTGTTTGGTTTCTGTAATCGTAGCCATAATAGGTTCTATTAGAATCAAAGCAGTCTTGTTACATTTTTTTTCTTTTCTAATGTTATCATAAAAACATTTTGCTATGGCTTCCTAGAGTTGGTATATTACTTTAACCATAACTTTATGTCTGTTGTAAGTCATTCACGTTACACTTCAAAACTTTATATTTGTGGGCTTACTTTCGTATCTTTTCATACTTTTTTGCGATTGTTTCTTGTAGTCATAGTTCTTAGGGGCACATCAGTTTATTTTGTCAGCTGTGCCACATTGTGTATATTTATACATGTTAAACGTTGTACTTATGCTTTAAATAACTAATGAATTGAGTAAAAATTTGTCCTTTTTTTCCCCCACTTTAATAACACAATTAGTAAATCTTACATTTATAAAATAATATTCGGCAGTATAAAAAGTTCAGTAGTGAAGTATGTAACTTTACCGACTGTTAATAGATTTAATTTACAGTATAAAATCGCTATATTTTTCATTATACTATTAAGAAATTGTCTGTGGCTCTATCTATCATAAGATTTTAATATAAAAATTTTTTCCTGTTATAAAATGGCAAAATGCCCCATTTTAACAGTAAAAAAGTTTTATACAACTTATAAAGTTTGAGAAAGTCTGAAATTTTCTTTAATTAAGTTCTACTTCTCTCGAGATATAAATCGCTTTTATCTCTCCATCACTAGACCTTTGACCACTAAAATTTAATTGCATCAATGACCCTTAATCATGCCTCGATTTCATCGTTTAATTTTTACCTCATCTTCGATATATTAAACGAAATAAATGCAAAGACATACAACCAATTTATATAGCATAAATATCCACAAATTTCTTTTTTCTATTTTTGACTGCTATGAGTTTAGGAGGTGTTAAAACATAAAGATTTAAAAGAGTTCAAGGAGTGAATTTTGGCAGAATTTCGGTAGTTTCCTTTCGTATGCATACACAACACTCTGCAAATAAGAAGTAGTTAAGCATGATAAAACTTGCTACTAAGCGAAATTTCTGTCAGCCAAACTGTGTTTAAGAGAATCTTTGTTATCTTACATACGTGTTTATCACACTGAGTGACCAATTAAACTTAATTAAAAGTTCTTTAAATTGTGTACAGGAAAAAAATAAAAAAATGTTTTCAATATGTTCGATTGGTCACTCAATGTGATAAACCCTTACGTAACTTTTACGATAAACTTTCTTGTCATATAAATCAAATACAGTAGAGCGTCGATTATCCGAAAGTCAATTATCCGAAACAATTCCAGTCGACAAATTTAAATTTTCGCCAGTGCTGTGGTGCTGCGAACTTTGGCTATGTCTTGGGCTACTCAAATATTTTATGTTTTTTATACTAAATTAACTTCTGAAGTATAACTTTTTATTGTTTTTATATTTTTAATATATTTATTTTCTTTGTACAAAATAAAAAAATAATTTTTAANCCTTGCTGATATTATACTTATGTTCTTTTAATCTGACTCCTAAACTTCTATTAGTGACACCAATATAATTTTTATTGATGTCTAATTCACGATTATCATAAGGAATCCTGTATACTCCAGCTTTTTTCTTTATCTACTCTGTCGTTGTCGTTCCTTAATAATTTGTACAGATTAGGAGCTCTCTTGAAAATTAACTTGGATTTTTTGCGGACTGAGATTTCCTTCATGATGTCTTTTCTCTTTTTATCATACGTGAATTTTGTGGTTTTGCCGAAATCGCATTTTTGAGCTTTAGTTTTGTTTACTTTGTATTTTCTAATCAATTTTTCTTCAAATCAAAAATTTTTTTTCTTATCGCTAGGGTACAGGAAAGATATGATAATAACATTGATAAGAAAATACAAAGTAAACAAAACTAAAGCTCAAAAATGCGATTTCGGCAAAATCGCAAAATTCACGTATGATAAAAAGAGAAAAGACATCATGAAGGAAATCTCAGTCCGCAAAAAATCCAAGTTAATTTTCAAGAGAGTTCCTAATCTGTACAAATTATTAAGGAACGACAAGGACAGAGTAGATAAAGAAAAAAGAGCTGGAGTATACAGGATTTCTTATGAAAATCGTAAATTAGACATCAATAAAAATTATATTNTATATTTATTTTCTTTGTACAAAATAAAAAAATAATTTTTAACGATACAATAGTCTTCGTTAGGCTTAACATCGACGAAAATTCAACGCGAAGCGACACGCAACAGAGAAAAATTTCAACATAGGATAAATTAATATATTTTTTGGCACATGATCGGTTATCCGAAATATCGGTTATTTCAAACCCCAGCCCCCAATTAATTCGGATAATTGACGCTCTACTGTACTATATTATAACGAACAATAAAAACGAAAACTATATAAAGAGTTTGGTTTTCTCAGCCTACCATTGTCACGTTTATCGCGATACTGTGTTAGCAAGAAATGGTACAATTTCATTGATAAAGTAAAAACCAATTCAAAATACGATATGTTAAAAAAATGTTAAATATCGTATTTTTCCTAATGTTATCACAACCAACTGTTTTATTCACAGCTGAAAATTAAATGATAATCTGCCAACCAATGAAATTTTGCGAAAATTAGACCGAATATTTAAATTATACACCCTCGAAAACCAATTAAAATATATTTTGTTTTTCCTGGTAGCCTTGTATTCTATAATTTTCCTATTCGAATGCTAATATTCTGATGGTCAGATAGAAAAAAGGGTTTGTTGCAGAAGAGAGTTGAAATAAATTTGACTAAACGTAGTACTAGTTGACCTACTTCCAGAAGAGAGAATGATCTGCGACTACTAATTAACCGCTTTTTGTCTGACCAATTTTTAATTTTTATGTAATTAAACATAAAAAATACTTAAAACTGGAAAAAAAACGAAAGAAATGCGTTAATTTTGAAGAGAAAGCTTCAAAGTTTATTTTCCATTGTCTTCCCTTTTTGCGAAATCTGAGTAATTGTGTTTACAGCTGGATGACCTTGAGAACAGCTGGTATCGTCTTTCCGGGACATTTTCAAAAAATTCTCAGGAGAATGCTTTAAAGTAGGGTGAATAATAGCTGGCCGTATATTTTTAAACATTTTTCAAAAATTACGGTTTTTATTGCGATNTATATTTACTTATTATTTGTATTGTTTATATCTAAATCATTACCCCCTGTAACAAGGACTCCTTATTATGAATAAATATATTTGATTGATTGATAATCTAATTAATAAACTGTTAGCTAAAATAAATGATTTGACAAAAAAAGGATGAGGATGGACACTTGTTTAAATTGGAATTCAAAATTAAATTGATTAAAAGTGGAATTGAAAATTAATAAATATATGCCATTAAAAGGGTTATCGTGTATCGAATTACTCAAAAAGTAAAATCGAAAAAAAACTGTACTGAATAAAAAAATAACGATAATGAATGCTTTAAATAGGCTTATTTTAGCATATTTAGACCCAGTTAATAAAAATGCTGAGACAGTTACAAAATATAAATAATATGAGCACAAGTAAGATTTTAATAGACTGTAAAATGTTAATTTAAAAAATAGAGGACGTTTGGAGCTGACAGAGGGAATATTATATCCGATAGAAATGATACCTTATTATCACTACACTATAAAATTAATTAGAAAATTAGATTAAATTAAATTACAATATATAGTTATGCAGAAGAAATTTGTCTGCATTACTACGTATTCGCCATTCATTTAAAAAACAACCACAATGGTATTTATGATTATCAAAATATGTAAATAATTCGGATCTTTTACATAGTATAAATTTATAGACTTAAAAATGAAAAACGTGACCCAAAATTTTATAATGAAAACAGTTTTAGCATATAATTCTCAATATTTAAAATTATACATTATTTTAAACATTCAAACACACAGATTTCATAAGCAATTGTGTTCTTCAGAGACTTATTGTATCAAACTCTTTATTTGTTACTTAGAAAATTCATTGAAACGTTTTATAAAAACAATAATAATTTATTAATATTAAATATAAAACTAAGTTAAAATTATTTTATTTCTATCAACAGGTTTTAAACTCTCAGCAAGAAACAGAGAGAAACAGGAAATAAAAAGCAAATGTGTGTCTGTGTCATTTTTACCATTTATCTGGAACTTTGTGTTTTCTCAAAAGAACAGAATTCAAAGACAACAATTTCGAAACAAAGGTAAGTTTCTACTTTGTTATTGGCTGATTTAATTATATGTAAGTAACTTAAGTAAATTTTTCTTTCCTCCATTTTGAAGCTGTAGTAAGTACAATACTTGGAATCACTACGCTATTTCCTAAAGAAAAAATCGTTCGCATTAATATTTTTGGATTCAAAGTATTTATTCTCACACATCCGGAATCTGCTCAAGTAATTAAACATGCGTACATCTGTATTAAACGTTTTATATCAATAACTGAAAATACATAATTTTTGCAGGAAGTGTTAAAAAGCAACTCTCTAATCCAGAAAGATTTTTCTTACGACTTCTTAAAACCATTTCTGGGAGAGAATAGTCTTCTGTACAGGTAATGTATTACTCTATGTTTAATTAAAATGTAATTGTTTACAGTTTTCTAAATTTAATTAAATAAAGTTCTGATGATAATTGGAGAAGAAGAAGAAAATATTTAGCTCCACATTTTCATCTTTGGAATCTGAAAAATCATCAAGACGTGTTTATGAAACATTCAAACATGTTAATCATGAAATTAAAAAAATTGCAGAATAATGAAGTATTCAATGCCTTGAAATTGATGAAATTTTGCGCTTTAGATATAATTACAGGTATGAATACGTAATGTAAAATATGTATTTAAAGGTAATAAATATCAGTTTATATTTATATAGAAGTTACATGTGGAGTCTCTGTGAATTCTCAGACCGAGGGTAATCAAGAGTATCTCTCTGCATTAGATAGGTATGGAAAATTTACTTCTGTATATAATGTATTCGTTTTGAAAATATTTACAAAATTCAAGTTTAAAATGCATGTAAGATAATTAGTATAAGAGGGTGGACCCAAAAAACCGGATTTTTTGTATAAAAACTTTATTTATTCAACTTTTTTACAAAATGTATTCTGTCACCTTCAAAGTACTCTTAGATGCGATGCACTTGTGAAGTCTTTTTCCCCACTGTTTGAACACCTCTGGAACTCTTCAACCTTGATGTCGTCCAGTGCCCTTAAGCGAAGCTGTTTTTACTGCCTTCACGTGATCAAAACGCTCCCCTTTTAGATCTTTCTTCATTTTCGGAAACAGAAAAAAGTCGCACGGGGCTAGGTCTGGTGAATACGGAGGGTGGGGAACGACAGGCCATCCCCGAGAGGCCAAATAGTAGGTCACTCGTAAAGCCGTGTGTGCGGGGGCGTTGTTGTTATGAAGGAACAGTCACCTGATCGCCAAAGTTCCGGGCGTTTCCTTCACACATCCTCTCGCAGATGTCTTCTCAATTTTTGGCGGAATTTTTAAACGTTTTCGTCGTTTCGAGATTTTGAAGGACGCTCAGAACTTCGCAGGCAGAACGAAACAACAGTAAGAGAAACAGAACACTACGCTTAAACATAAACCTACAAACTGACGCCGTTTGCGCAGCTGTTTCGTGAAGGTCTCTACTAACCCCATGTAACAAGAGAACTCTCTACTACGTCTACGAATGGCAGCGCGCTCTCAGTTCGGTTATTTTTTTGGGTCCCCCTCGTATAATGAAATTTTCAAATTTTTCAAAAAACGTGAATATTTGGTTCAAGTTTAGTAAATCAAATGCCCATTCAATTGATGTACACTCACTCAGCATTAGTATATAAATAAAAAACACTACACCTTAATTTGCTGAGAAAAAATTTAATCTAACGCAAACGTTTTCAGCCAAATCAGTTGGCCATCGTCAGGCTAAGAACATTCGAATATAAATAAAATGGAACAAAAATTTAAATACAAATAAAATAAAATAACGAGCGAAATATATATATAAATGTATAAAGAATAATAAAAGAAATAAAAATTATTGTTACAAATAACAAAAAAATGTATATGAAAAAATAAGCATAGGTTAATTAAATATTGAAACGTTATATAGAAATTTAGTGAAATGCACTTTATGCAAAAGAATATTAAAATAACCGCAATAAATTAAGAGTCGTCCATTCGTTTGATAAAGTATTTCCAGACCGATGGCAACCCTTCAGAATCTCTAGAATTGATGCATGAATCATGCATCAATTCTAGCAATTGCAAATTTGCAAATGCATTGCAAATTTGCTTTTATATATTTCAATTTTTTCGGCGCAATTCGTCAATGTCGGTGAATGTACTGATTTAATAATTTCTGCTTCGTCCCATTTAACGATTGAGCCTTCAACTTGCGCCATTTGCGATAGTATAGTGGCACTAGATCCCTTGCTGATATTATACTTATGTTCTTTTAATCTGACTCCTAAACTTCTATTAGTGACACCAATATAATTTTTATTGATGTCTAATTCACGATTTTCATAAGGAATCCTGTATACTCCAGCTCTTTTTTCTTTATCTACTCTGTCTTTGTCATTCCTTAATAATTTATACAGGTTAGGAGCCCTCTTGAAAATTAACTTGGATTTTTTGCGGACCGCGATTTCCTTCATGATGTCTTTTCTCTTTTTATCATACGTGAATTTTGTAATTTTGCCGAAATCGCATTTTTGAGCCTTAGTTTTGTTTACTTTGTATTTTTTTACCAATGTTATTATCATATCTCTCCTGTACCCTAGCGATCTGGCAATATTTAATACTCTATTAATTTCCTGTTGCCTATCCAACACACTACTGCAATAGAGAAAGGCCCTTTGGATAAGGGCACGGAAGGCAGCCACTTTGTACTGGTAAGGATCATTAGAGTGGGACGGAATGTACAGAGGGCTATGCGTCGGTTTTACGTATACCTTAGTGGCCAAGTGCCCTTCTTTGAACTCAACGTCAATATCCAAAAAATGTATCTGTGAAGCA